TAGCTGTCCAGTTAATTTCTTTCTATTTTTGGTAGAGACGGGGTCTCGCTCTTGCTCAGGCTGGTCTCGAACTCCCGAGCTCAAACAATCCTCCCGCCTCGGCCTCCCAGAGTGCAATAACATACTTTTATTTAAAAAAAAAAAAAACCCTACGTTTCTTAAAACCAAAAGAAAAATTTATGCCAAGAGTGGTAATGTTTTACATTTTTGCAAATCTCTTTAATGTTTGGCTTGTTAGAAGACAGACTCTCATGTTTGATTCTGCATGCTCATATTTGGTGTGATATCACATCATGTAGCTTCTGAAAACTCCACCACTTACTTAGAGGAAGAGAGTGAAAAAGGCAAATAATATCTTAGAATCATTATCAACAAAAAAAAGAAAAAAAAAGAATTATTATGAACATAGTTTTGATATTGCAGACCCCCTAAAAGCATCCAGGGGTACCCTCCAGGGGTTCCCCAGGACATGCTTTGGGAACCGCTACTGTAGCTGACCAGTGAGGCGTGAGGAATTTTAAGGGGGTGGGGAGATGTGAAGTCCCTTGAGCCACAGCCTAAAAATTCATCATAAGTGGATAAATGGGCTTCATAAAGCCTATTTCCAAGCTGCAGTTGTGTCAGGAAGACGTCGCATCTGCCCTCCTGTCTCTATCCTCAGGTGTGGAGTCTGTCGGAACAGGGCACCCTGCTGCACGTCCTCGAAGGCGTCGGGGCCCCTGTGAGCCTGCTGGCCCGGGGTGGGGCTTTGGTGGCATCTGCTTCCTGGCAGTCCTCATCTTTCAAAGTCTGGGATCTTGCCGATGCTCAGAAACCCCAGGAATCTGCCCCCTTTCTGGACCGCACTGGCCTCACTGCGGTGTCCCACAACGGAAGCTACGTCTACTTCCCCAAAATTGGGGACAAAAACAAAGTCACCATTTGGGACTTGGCAGAAGGTTTGTGAGATATAAGTATGGTCGTGTGTGCGGGTCACAACTGAAGCCGTCTGTCTTAGTGGGTTTAGGCTGCTGTAGCGAAGTACCGTAGACCGGGTGGCTTAAGCAATGGACATTTATTGCTCACGGCTCCCGAGGCTGCGAAGTTAAGGATCGAGGTGCTGGCAGGTCTGCTGTCTGGTGAGGGCCCGTTTCCTCATTCATAGGTGGCCGTCTTCACATTGTGTCTGCAGAGAGAGAGAGAGAGCGCGCGCAAGCAAGCTCTTGGGCATCTTCTTAGAAGGGCACTAATCCCGTGCGTGAGGGCCCCACCCCTCAGCCTAATCACTTCCCAAAGTCCTTGCTATAGTTTGAATGTTTTTCCCCCAAACCTCATGTTGAAATTTGATCCCCAGTGTTGGAGGTGGGGCCTAGTGGGAGGTGTTTGAGTCATGGGGGGATCCCTGAGGAATAGATGAATGCCCTCCCTGGGTGGGGGGTGATCGAGTTCTTGCTCTGTTAGTTCCCATGAGAGGTGGTTGTTAAAAGAGCCTGGCACCTCCCCCATCTCTTCCTCTCTCCCCCTCTGCCCTCTCCCCTCCCCTCTCGCCGTGTGATCTCTGCACACGCCAGCTTCTCTTCACCTTCCACCACGAGTGGAAGCTTCCCAAGGCCTTCATCAGAAGCAGACACTGGCGCCTGCAGATCCGTGAGCCAAATAAACCATCCTTTCTTTATAAAGAGCCTCAGGTATATATTTATGCCAGCCTCAGGTATTCTTTTATAGCAACACAAACGGACTAAGACAGGCCTCATCTCCTGATGCTAGCCCATTGGGGGTGAGGATTTCAATCTAGAAATTTGAGAGCGGGGGACACGAAGGTTCAATCCATAACACCCCCATCACTCTAGGCAGGTTGAAAGTCACCAATTGAAAACAGGATTTGATTTTACATATTTCCCCTGGAAAGCAATTGGTAATCTGGCTGCCCAATCCCTGTTTTAGTTCATGTTCCCTAGAAGCTGGGCCTGTGATGAGGATATTTGCACAAGTGATGCATGGAGGGGTGTTGAAAGCGGGTGAGGGAAGGAGGCTGGGGCAGGGGGCGGGCAGAGCAAGGATGTGAGCTTGGCTGGAATCCCATGGGAGCCCTAGAAGGCAAATGGCGCCACTGCCTGGGTCCATTCAGGCTGCTACAATGGAACAGCATAGACTGGCTTATGAAGAACAGAAATTCATTTCTCATGGTTGTGGAGGCTGGGAAGTCCAAGATCAAGGTGCAGACAGGTCCGGCATCGGGTGAGGGCCCGCTTCCTGGCTCATGGACGGCCATCTGTTGCTCTGTCCTCACATGGCAGAAGGTGACAAAGGAGTCCCTGGGGCCTCTTTTTCTTTTTTTTTTTTTGAGACAGGGTCTCACTCTGTTGCCCAGGCTGGAGTGCAGTGGCATCATCATAGCTCGCTGCAGCCTCAAACTCCTCTGCTCAAGTGATCCTCTGGCCTCAGCCTCCTGAGTAGCTGGGACTACAGGTGTGTACCACCATGCTGGGCTAATTTTTTTAGGTTTTTTGTTTTTAATAGAGAAGGAGTCTCATTATTGCCCAGGCTGGTCTTGAACTCCTGGGCTCAAGCAATCCTCCTGCCCTGGCCTCCCAAAGTGCTGGGATTATAGGCGTGAGCCACCGCACCCGGCCCAGACAGATATGCTTTAAGCGTCAACCCACTAGCCTAGGCTCTGAGGGGTTGGCAGTGCACAAGTCAGACAAGGTTATTATTCTCAAGGCGCTTGTCTGCTAGTTGGGGAGCAGAGTAGGACATAAAGCAATGGAGAGTGGTGGCCAATGAGGTGGGGGTCTGCACGCTGCAGCCCGAGGGCCAAAGCCGGAAGCATGCATTTGTTTACATGCTATCTGTGTCTGGCTGCAGGGTGGAAAGATTGTAACTGAGTGCATGGGGCTCATGAGCCAAAAATATTTATTTCCTAGCCCTTTGCAGAAGACGTCTGTAAAGGAAAAGTTTAGGATGAGATCTGAGAGGTCACGTAAAGCCTTGAGGACAGCAGAAAAGAGTTTGTATTATGTCCCGAGGGTTGTGGAAGCCAGGATTCACACCCCACTCCCCAGCACCCTCCATTGCTGAGGGTTAAGCAGGGGCCTGAGATGATGTTTTACATTTTAAACAGCTCAGATTGGCATGGCAGGGTGGCTTATGGCCTGCCTATAATCCTAGCACACTGGGAGGCCGAGGCAGGAGGATCGTTTGAGGTCAGGAGTTTGAGACCAGACTGAGCAAGAGCGAGACCCCGTGTCTACTAAAAATAGAAAAATTTAGACAGCCATGGAAGCATGTGCCTGTAGTCCCAGCTATTCAGGAGGCCGAGGCAGGAGGATCGCTTGAGGCCAGGAATTCAAGGCTGCAGTGAGCTATGATGACACCACTGCATTCCAGCCTGGGCAACAGAGCAAGATCCTTATCTCTAAAAAATAAAATAAATGTAAAAAAAATAGGAAAACCAGGGAACCTCTATGATCAGTTCTCAATGTGGTCTTCTCCCCTGGCAGGTGAGGAACAAGACGTCCTGGACACTTCCAATGAGATCAGGTGTCTAGAGGTTGCTGAGCAGTCCAAGCTCCTTTTTACTGGCCTTGTTTCAGGGACTGTCCTGGTGTTCCCCCTGAATTCCCGGCAGGATGTGATGTGCATCCCCCCTCCCGAGGCCCAGAAAGCCATCAACTGCATGTCCTTGAGCAAGGCCGAGGACCATTTGGCCATTGCCTATGACAACATTGTCCTGGTCCTGGACATCAGCCCCGGGGACCCCTGTCCAGTCATCGATGGGCCAACATACACCTTTTACACCCAGCTGCCCGAGACCATATCCAGCGTGGCCGTGCTGCGTGACTACCGCGTGGTCTACGGCATGATGAACGGCGACCTCTTCCTCTATGAGTGCGCAAATTCCAAGGTGTTCCCCTTGGAGGCGCACAGGAGCCGAGTCTCCTGCGTGGAGGTCAGCCACGAGGAGCGGCTGGCGGTCAGTGGGTCCGAGGAAGACTTGCTGTGTCTCTGGGACCTGCAGGGCTGCAAGTGGAAATTCGAGATGAGCTACACGGTGCGTGGCCCGCCACACCCCGGTCCCGCTAGATCTTGGCTTTGGAAAACCAATAAACAGCGATTGTTTATTAAGCGCACGGCTGGGGCAGGGGGACCAGGGTGCAACGAGGATGAGGAAACTGAGGCACTTGCCTTGGGAGCAAAGTTTAAGGAGGTACCAAAAAACTCAGCAATGCAGATAAACAATATTTTAATGCAATATTTATTTGTTTAGTTAGTTAGTTTAGAGACAGGGTCTCACTCTGTCACCCAGGCTGGAGTGCAGTGGCATCATCATAGCTCACTGCAGCCTTGAACTTCTGGCCTCAAGTAATCCTCCTGCCTCAGCCTCCTGAGTAGCTGGGACTACAGGCAAATATTTAGGTTGTGTTGCCCTTGTCCCCTGCTCCCAGTTTTTAAAAATTTTTTTGTAGAGATGGGATTTCGCTGTGTTTGCCCAGGCTGGTCTTGAACTCCTGGCCTCAAGCGATTTTCCTGCCTCAGCCTCCCAAAGTGCTGGGACTCTGGGACCTGCAGGCATGCAAGTGGAAATTTGAGATGAGCTTCACGGTGCGTGGCCCACCATGCCACCCCACTCAGCCTTGATGCAATATTTTTTTAAAAACCCAAAAGGAGTGCCAAAAATCCAAGAAGAACAAAATACCGCTGACTCACTCTTCTCACCCTGGTTCTTTGCTGTCCTTTCATTCCACTGATATTTATTGCACCACCTCTGCCTGGCCCCTTTCTAGTACCAAGGAGGCAGCTGTGACCAGGGGAGACACTGTCCCAAGTCTTGGAGCCACTTTCTCGTGGGAGAGACCCACTAGGGTTTTCTGTGTTCTGCTCACTGAGGTATCCTCTGTCCCTAAGAGAGCTCCTGACATTTCCTTGGTGCTCAATAAATGTTGGTGAAATAAAAACAAAGCAACAAATACATGATGGGTTAGAGAGTAATAAGGGATTTGAAGGAAAATACAGCAAAGTAAAGTGGGTGGATAGAGGTGAGGGCTGCTGTGTAAGAAAGCTGTGCAAGTGTAGTGGAACAGCATTCTGGGCAGAAGGAACAGCAGCTGCAAAGACTCTGAGGAGGGAAACTGGCAAAGTGTCTTAGGGTCCTATTATAAGGCACTATTACCATTTTTTGTATCGATATTATTCTTAAGAGTATATTACATTTTATATATTTATATATCGATGCAATATAATATATAATATATGTCATACTATCATTATATAATTTAATCCTTACAACACTCTCGTAGGGTTGGTGTTATTGTTCCAGTTTTTCAGATGGAGAACTGAGGTCATATGTTAGGTTGCAATATGTAAAAATTGTTAATAAACATAGGGAGTTGATACTGTAACAAAGAGAACGGAATGGCGGGGTGTGGTGGCTCATGTCTGTAATCCCAGCTACTTGGGAGGCCAAGGCAGGAGAATTGCTTGAGGCCAGGAATTTGAGATCAGCCTGGGCAATGTAGCAAGACCCCCCTCTCTATAAAATTAAAAAAAAATTAGCTAGGTGTGGTGGCACGCATCTATAGTCCTAGCTACTCAGTGAGCTATGAGCCACTGGACTCCAGCCTGACCCGCAGAGTATGACCCTGTCTCTTAAAAAAGAGATAGAGAGAGAGAGAACACATATTGATAGTTTCATCTTAAAAGATATTTGTCCCACCTGACTTATTTGTTTTTATGGAGCCACTGCCAAGTCTGGGATGTAAGTATTTTGCCTTGCTGAGATAGGAAATTTCAACACAACAGTTAAATACACACAGCTTTGTTTTTAAATCAGCTTAATTTTAGAATAATTTTAGATTTACAGAAAAGTTGCAAAAATAATACAAAGTACCTTCTTCACCCACCTTCCCTGATGTTAACATCTTATGTAACTATAGTGTTGTTGTTAAAGCTAAGAAATTAATGTGGGAACAATACTATCAACTAAACTATAGACGTTATTTAGAATCTTACCAGTTTTTCAACTCATTGCCTTCTTCTGTTCTGGGATCTAATCTGGGATGCCACACTGCATATAGCATATAGCTTTTATTTATTTATTTATTTTAGCACATAGCTTTTAATTAAATACAATCGTAGCTAATGTTTGTATAACCAAGGTCATTTAAGAAGTTGAATCCTATAATTCCCACTCTCCAGTGCAAACTGTCTCTGAACCGTTCAATCCAATCTCCATGGGGGTGTGCCTTGCTCCTGAGAATGCTGTGCTACCCATCTCTCCAGGTTTTCACTTGATCCTTCCCCTGTGGGGCGCTTCAAAGGCTGGCTCCTGGCCAGGCACGGTGGCTCACGCCTGCAATCCTAGCACTCTGGGAGGCCAAGGCAGGAGGATCATTTGAGGTCAGACGTTTGAGACCAGCCTGAGCAAGAGGGAGACCCCGTCTCTACGAAAAAACAGAAAAATCAGCTGGGCATGGTGGTGTGCGTCTGTAGTCCCAGCTACTTGGGAGGCTGAGGCAGGAGGATTGTTTGAACCCAGGAGTTCGAGGTTGCAGTGAGCTACCATGACACCACTGCACTCTGCCAGGGGCAACAGTGAGACTCTGTCTCAAAAAAAGAAAAAAAAAAAAAGCCTGGCTCCTTGGAGCTGATCTCCTGGGTGTTTCAGTCTGGAATCAGGATCACACTGTCTATTTTCAACAGAGCTCTTACTGCAGAGGGGTCCAATGCGCTTGCTTCTCCAAGGATGACAAGTACGTGTTTGCAGGCTTAAAGGATCGCTCCATCATTGTCTGGAGTGTGTTGGATGGTGAGTTGTTTTGCTTTTAGAGCAGGACTGAGCTTCGATCTGAAGAGAGAGGGCTCTGTCCTCAGTCCTAGGTATTAGAGTGCCCTGTTCCGTCCTCAACTAGCTGGGGTCCTCAGCTTAGGGAGGTGTCTTAAAGCCAAGGGGATGGGCTCACAACCTCTCTTCTAGACTGATGCTGTGGAACTCCAGAACACCCTCCCCCCATGGCCTCGAGCCCTCTTTAGGGCACACACAGGCTTCTTCTGTAGTGTAATCCTTCTGAGGGTAGACAGTGTCTCTGGTGTGTGCACCCCTAGGCTCGGGAGGTAGCCATGGGGTGGTGTGGATAGAGTTCAGATGTCTGGGCTGGAGTGGAGGGTTCATATCTATATATGTGAGGGCCCTACAGTGTGGGATAAAACTGGGAAAAGTGGGAATAGAAGGGGGCCAAGTCACAAACAGCAGGTACTGGCTCTCCCACATTGCTACATTCCAGTACTAAACTCTTAAGAGCCCAAGAATTCTCAATCTGATCCCAGCCTTCCAGGTTGTTCCGAAGATACCTTCATCAATGTAGGAAGATAGAGAGTATTTTACTTAACAGTTTATTCACTAGATCTGCAGCATTTCCACATTTTATCTTATAGGATGTGGATCTCAATTTATTCTCTTTACCCAGGCCCTATAAATGTTAGGGGCAGCCTGTTTTAAGACCAACGACTTTGAAAATCCCCTTGTTGCTTACTCTGTTCAATATTATGCCAAGGTCATATAAGCAAGAGTTATATTGTATACTGGGTATAATCCCTGAATCATTTAATTCAACATTCATCCCCATTTTACAGAGCAAAAATTGAGGCTCTCAATTTTTGAGGCTGGATGACTTGCCCAAGGTCACACAGTGAGTAACTGGTAGGCTGAGGTTTGAAGCTCATCTGCCTGATTCCAGTGCTCACCTTTGTCACTTTCTTGCACTGTCTCCTATAGAGAAGACTCTAATCATTTATTACCTCTCTGAACCCTGATGACCCTGGTGGGGGATAAGTATCATTGCTATTTTCTTTTGACAAACGGAGAAGTGGACTTACTCAAGGTCACAAAGCAAGTTAGCTGCTAAGAGAATATTAGGTAGAGCCTAATACATTGTAATCTGATACATTATAATCTATTACATTAATCTAAAACATTGTGGTTGAATACATTGTAGTCTAATACATTAGTAAAGATAGCTGGTAAAAACGTCACAGATGGTTCAGTGGGTAAGGTCTGAGGATTGTGGCCTTAAAAGCTCATCCTGGGCAGGTCCACAACCTCTCTTTCTTCTCCCTTCAACAATAATATTTACTGAGCTCACTGTGGGCCAAAATCCTATACTTAGCACCTTAGAAGTATGATGTCTTTAAATCTTCAAAATTCCCCTGGGCATGTAGGTTCTGTTATCATTCTCATTTTGCAGATAAAGCAAGAAGGACTCTAAGAGTCCCTCTAAATGTCATGACTAAGTTAGTCAGGGTTAGAGCAAAAATTTGACCCCATGCAGCCAACTCTAGAATGTGTAGGATTGGACCTATGCACCCCACTTTTCTCATTTTTGCCCTGCTCTTCACCCTCACAGGCACCCTGCTGGCTGTCCAGTTTGTCCATGCTGTGGTAAACAGAATCATTCCAACCTCCAATGGCTTCATTGCCCCTACCAGACATGGTTATCTCATCCGAGAGCGTTTCCAGTGCCCTTCGTCAAGAGCCTCGCAGCAAGACCCTCTCAAGAACTTCAAGAAGGCAGTGTGGATGGTCAAATCCAGGCAGAGAGAAGAGCTGGCTGCAGGTGCAGGAGCACCCCAGGACTTGGGATCAGAAAGTACCCAGGAAAATGAATCCAAATCAAACAAACGCTCACAAGTCTGCCTGATTGTATAGAAACCCCCTGTGGGGACATGGGGCTCCAATGAGTTAGTCTCATTTAATCTGGTTGAAGCAAAGAGAATGTATTTGCTGGTGTATACCTGGACCCAAAACCTCAGATTATTTGACTCAGACATCATCTCTTCCCATCTTTCTATTGTTTCCTCATTGTTGGTTTTAGTCTCAGATCTTCCACCCCCAGGTTAGCAACATGGTGGCCAACATGCTGCTTTCTCCAAGTTCAGTAGAAAAGAGGGCTTCCCTTTCCCACATTTTGAACCAAAGCCCTGGCCTCAACTCTCTTGGCCCCAGTTGGTTCGTACTCTGAACCAGTGATTATCTCTGGGACAATGTAGCACTCCACTTGGCTGGATAGACCCAGTGTCCACCATTGGGGCTGAGGTTGGAGATGACACCACCCAATCATGTAGACTGAGAATGAAAGACAGTATTCCTGGGAGGCAAACTGGGGCGCTGGTACCAGGTAAAGGGGGGATGGATGAGTGTGAGACAGACTAAACCACTGATGAGGATCGGTCTATAAAGCACCTGGTTCTGTCATCTGATCGTCATCACAGCCCATACTTTAGGGAGGGCAGGAGTTTCTGCATCCATTTTACAGATGATGAAATGGAGCCTTGCAGAGTTACCTGGGATTTGCTCCAGGTCACAGGCCCAAGATTCAAGGGCTCTAAGAGCCAGGACCCTTTTGTCCCAATCCTTTTTGGACCACTTTATTCTAATTTTAGTCTCGGAAGCACAACCATCTATTCCACAGGTGGCAGCCTCAAATGCTCCCAGAGGCTAGTGAATCATCCAGATGATTTCCATGCACCTAGGTGAGCAGCAGGAAGGGATGGAGGCTCTGGACACATGGAGGGCACAGGTTGTGTCTAGGGTGGGCACAGGCACCCTGACAGTAGCCCAGAATCAACATGACAAAACAAGCCTATTGTCGGATCTTCCTGTTGTCATAAGCAAAGCCAGAAATGCAGACTTTTATGCAAAAACATTCCCATGTTTTAAAGTGGGCAATTGGCTCAAATTTATATCTATATAGGTGTATTTGGCCTGTATGTCTTTGGTTGAGGAGCTGACTTCATGATTCAAGCTGGCATTAAAACAATAGCCATGTTATAGTTCTCCCATCCCTCTTCCCGGACTTCCAAACTTTCAGGATGAAGACGCTTTTTTAATCTTAAAAACTGGAGGCTCTTGGAAGTCGACAGAAAGAGCTGCTGACGTATCTCTGCTTCACTTTTGGACCATCTGCCTTGTGCAAGTTCAACAGTCGAACTGTTTTCATTCCACGTAAATGGATCTTTTTTCTTTGCTCACCGCTTTCTAAAATTCCCACTTGCTTCTGGGGCTTTTGCTATAATGATAGGAGAGTCCAAACCTTCGAGGTGCTGTTCCTTCTCCCTTTTGTTGAATTCCAGACAGAGTTTCAGCAAAAGCAACCTTAGAAACAGAGGCTTTTGAGCTCAATGAGACCCTACTGACTAGCTCATTCATTTGTTTCCCAAATCAGGGTTCCAAGGCAGGCTTCGGCAGTTCTGCAAACATGAGCATTAAATTCCATTAAAAAAATATTTTAAACTGTAATTTTAAAGTGCATGCTCAGAGACATTGGGAAGCTGGTTTTAAGTCATTGGAGATGACTAATTTAGGATTCCCCTGCCATCTCCATTTAAGAGGCCTCTTAAGGTTGTGAAGAGAGCCCTTGAATAAAATACCTACTTGGCTGGGTGCAGTGGCTCACACCTATAATCCCAACACTCCAGAAGGCTGATGGGGGAGGATTGCTTGAGGTCTGGAGTTCAAGACCAGCCTGGGTGGCATAGCAAGATCCTCCTGTCTCTACAGAAAGTTAAAAAATTAGTGGCACATGGTGGCACATGCCTGTAGCCCCAGCTACTTGGGAACCTGAGGCAGGAGGATCGTTTGAGCCTAGGAGTTCGATTTACAGTGAGCTATGATGGTGCCACTGTACTCCAGCCTCAGTGACGTAGCAAGACCCTGTCTCTAAAAAGAAAGAATAAAGAAAAAGAAAGAAAGAAAGAAAAGAAAAAAGGCTACTCTTTTCCCCAACTTCTCGGTGAGTCAGAGATTTACCCAAAGCAGAAACAAAGTGGATACTGAGAGACAGAGGAACATTTCATCTACAATTTCTGGTTTAAAATTTCTGTGTCCATCTCGACAGCCTCAGTGAGAATCAATTGCTTGGTATGTACATCCTAATTTGAACATCGGAAAGAAATTTTTACTAATAAAATGCTCCTCCAAATTATTTCTTACATTGGGGGTTTTGCAGTGAGTTTCCATTTGAGAAAGAGTTTGCGTGCTCTGAATGTTTGACAACCACTGTGCTTTAAGAGGATTGGTTTGCCTAAGGTCTCCCAGCCACGGCACAGCCAGGATGAGAATGTGGTTATTTCAATCCCCACCTTATACTCTTGTCGCTAAACATAACCACAAAACTTGTCATCCAAACTAGAACACTTTTAACAATTACTCCTGGACAACAGAAATATACTGAACTGTCCCAAGGCAATTGAAATACACAGCCCATCTAGTTCCAGCAAGAATGGATTTATATTAAATCCTGGAGACTTTGGCTGGGCATGGTGGCTCGAATCTGTAGTCCCTTGGGACTATTTGGGAGGCTGAGGTAGGAGGATTGTTTGAGGCCAGAAGTTTGAGACCAGCCTATCTCTAAAAAAAGAAAAATAATTCTAGAGACTTTGTATTTATCTCTTTATCTCAACTTTTTCCTTTGTGAAAATGTTTAAACCTACAGCAAAGTTGCAATATAAGGACAATGAATGAACATTTACTATTTATTAGAAATTTATTATCAGTTTTTAAAAAATCAGATTAATTTAAAAATGAATGATGAAGAAAATATCAACATTTTATATAAAGTTGGGATCTGACCCTGCACTTTTGGGAACCTGCCTCACCCTCCTCACATATTCTAGAACAGGGGTCAACAATCTACAGCCTGCAGTTCTGCCACCTTTTTTTTCGGAGACAGGGCCTCATGTTGTCACCGAGGCTGGAGTGCAGTGGCACAATCATTGCTCACTGCAGCCTTGAACTCCGGGGCTCAAGTGATCCTCCTGCCTCAGCCTCCCGAGTAGCTGGGACTACAGGTGCAGGCTACCACACCTGGCTAATTTAAAAAAATTTTTTAGAGACGGGGGTCTTGCTATGTTGCCTAGGCTGGTCTTAAACTCCTGGCCTCAAGGGATCCTTCCCCCCCTTGGCCTCCTAAAGTGCTGGGATTATAGACATGTGCTACCATGCCTGGCCTATTTTTGTAAATAAAGTTTTATTGGAACACAACCATGCTTGTTTATTTAGATATTGCCTGCAACTGCATCCATGCTACAACAGCAGGGTTGAGTCATTGTGACAAAGAATGTATGGCCCCAAAGCCACAGATATTTACAATCTGTCCCTTTACCAAAAAATTGTGCTAAGCCTTAAGACTTGATTAGATTTAGGGTAAACAGTTTTTTTTAATGGATCTTAGTTTGTTGTTGTTGTTTTTTTTTAAGACATGGGGTCTTGCTATGTTGCTCAGGCTGGCCTTGAACTCCTGGGCTTACATGACCCTCCCACCTTAGTGTTCCAAGTAGCTGGGGTTACAGGTGCATGCCACCACACCCGGCTTAAATTTTATTTTATGTTTTGAGCAGTTTTAGGTTTATAGCAAAATTGAGGGGAAGGTACAGAAGTTTGCCATATGCACCCGGCCCCCACAAATGCGCATCCTCCCCCATCATCAACATTCCTCACCAGAGTGGTACAGTTGTCGCAATGGATGAACCTACATTGACACGTCCTTATCACACACAGGGTAGACATTTTTGACAAGGATACGTCATAGCTGTATTCATTCTCTATTGCTGCAAAACAAATTAACACAAATTTAGCAGCTTAAAATAACATCCGCTTATTATCTTATAATTTCTGTGGATCAGGAGTCTGAGCATGGTGGAACTCCATTCTTTGTTCGGGGCCTCACAAGGTGTCAGCCGGATTGGGTTCTCATGGAGACACTCAGAGACTTCATCCAGGCTCCTTCAGACTGTTGGCAGAGTTGAGTTCCTCCAAGCAGGAGGAGTGTGGACCTCGGCTGCCTCTCTCCATGGGCAGTTTTTGAAAACAGCTGGTTCCTCTTTCAAGGCTAGGAGGTTTGCATTTCTCTGCCACTTCCAGTTGCTGACCTCAGAGTGTTTTGTTTTGTTTTTTTTTTTTTAGAGACAGGGTCTCTCTATATTGCCTAAGCTGGTCTTCAACTTCTGGCCTCAAGTGATCCTCCCATCTCAGCCTCCTGAGTAGCTGGGACTACAGATACCAGTACCTGACTCAAATAATCTTTTAAATGATGTCCCTGATTAAGTCAGCCTCACCCAGAGTAATCTCCCCTCTGATTAACTCAAAACCAACTCATTTGGCATCTTAAATATACCTGCAAAATCCCCTCCCCTTTGCCAGCTAGGGTAGCCTAATCACAGGGTGACTTCCGTCATAGGCCCAGGTCCCGTTCACAACCCCAGGGCAGGGCATCAGAGGCATGAGTACTGGGGAGTGGGCATCTTGGAACCCACCTTAGAATTTTGCCACCATAACACACAATTCTGGGCTTCAGACATTTGGGTCGTAAAGTTTGCCACTGGGAAGATGCAAGTAATCCAAAATAGGATCTTCTGATTTTGTCTTTTTTTTTTTGAGACAGAGTCTTGCTCTGTCACCTGAGCTAGAGTGCAGTGGCATCATCATAGCTCACTGCAACCTCAAACTCCTGCGCTCAGGCGATCCTCCTGCCTCAGCCTCCCAAGTAGCTGGGACTACAGGTGCAAGCCACCACGCCTGGCTAATTTCTTCTATTTTTTAGAATAGACAGGGTCTCGCTGTTGCTCAGGCTGGTCTCGAACTCCTCACCTCAGTCGGGAGTTCCTGAACTCCTGCCTCGGCCTCCCAGAGTGCTAGGATTACAGGCGTGAGCCACTGCACCCACCTGGCTTTTTAACCTTGGCAAAATACTATCCCGTGAGAGA